AGTCAAGCCAGTGTAGAAACTGGCAAGACAGTTCAGTGAGTTACGCAGCCGGAGCACTCACGGTCCACTGAAGCTCTGAATCCTCAGGGATGCCACCTGCACATACTCATACTCTGTCCGGGGTCCCAGCCTAGCCTTTACCAAGATACTGGTCCTGGTTTGGGGGGATCTGAAACCTCCAACTAATAGAACTTTCTTCTCTTCTTTTCTAGTAGGTGTAGTCCTTCCCTAATTTCAACTCATTAAAAAATGCTTTATAGTTTAGGGCAGTGGAAGGAAGACTGGCATCAAAATATTTTGATCAATGTAAAGGCCCATTCACCACAGGCAGTTGTTTGAAAGTGACTCATAAAGCATTTACCATATCCTAAATTTGCACTCTTTGCAGACTTGTGCACATATATTCCGCTTTCAGAATAGTTTTGCAAATTGTACACAAACAAACAAACAAAAAATGGGTGGAAGCTTTTTAATAAAGAAATTGCATTTATAAATGATCTGTATTAGAATATAATAAATCTCCAGTTATAGTCAATTACTACCCGTGTTGTACAACAGATACCTTCTATTTTAGTTGCTAATAAAGGGCTACACAACTCAAAATAGTCTGATTTAAACTTATTGCTCTGTGGTATATATGAAAATTGTTTTTTTTTTTGGTAATTCCATCTCAGAATTTTTGTTAAAAATGGTAAACCTCAGCTATTACATAAAATTATACTAGGATGTATTTTATATTTTACATATTTATGTGATTTTTTTTAATCACAGAAATTAGAGTCATATAATTTTAAAGTTAACTTTTAAAATCACATGCAGTTTGCCTTTTTGTGTGTGACATCCCTTGTGTCAATTACTATATTGTAATAGAATATAAATTTAAGATTGGTAAAAGATCATAGATGTAGTTCTTTACTTCAAAGATCTTGATAGTCTGCAAATGAAGAAACATTGAAGAGTGTTCTTAGTGTTTTTCAAATCATTGCAGACCACACATTCTACGCTTTTTTGGTGTTTTAAGCAATTCGATTCTTAACTTGAATTTTTAGCGAGAAATCATTAACAATAACAACAACAACAAAAAACCACTGGACTTTCTTACAGTTTTACAATTTTTTTGTCATGATTTTTGGTGCGGCTCTTCCAACTAAAATAATGGTATGGTGTTGTATTTCTTTCTTAGTATAGACCAATTTTAGTCACTTTGGCAAAACAAATGTAATTTATTTAGTTGATTATTTGGTTATCAAGCATGTACCACATTATACCTATTTCAGCCTAACACTGGGTATCTATGTTACATTGGAGAACATTTATCTCTTCAGTGTTAAGCCAGAGTAGCACAATTTTTAGATGCTTTGCACCAATTTTATTTAAAGATTTGCATTTCTTATTTATTAAATAACAATTTTCTATCCATCAAGAATGAAATAAAAAAATGTTATCTTTTGGATTCAAATTACTCAATATATGTGTGGAAATTATACTCTTAAAAAATTAGTGATTTATTTTTCATCATTTAGTTATACTTTTGAATCCTATAAATATTTATCCCTTGTTTAATATAGATTTTAAAATTTTTGAAATTGACTAAAATTTTAAAATGTATTCTGAGTATAAAACCAATATATCATTATTACAGATAATTTGGAAAATACTAAAAAGTATAAAGAAGAGAAAAAAATTGTCTGCAATTTTACTCCCTAGAGATAACACTGTTAACACATTTTTCTGTATTTCCTTTTGGTCTTTGTCTATACTATTTATATGTATGAGTGTGTGTATGTGTTTGTGTGTGTGCAGTACCAAAACTGAGATTACATTGACTATATAGTTGCATATCCTGTTTTTTATAACCTAATATCATAAGTACCTACCCGTCTTTGAAAATGTGAGTTTTTAAAATGGCTGCTTAATGTTCTATTGTATGAGTATACCATAATTCAACCTAATATCTCTTTGGGTTCTGGGTTGTTTCTGATCTTTCACAATGATAGACAATAGTGGGGTGGACCTCCTCCTATGTTAAATTCAAACTCTATATTAGACTTGTTCTTTAAGATACATTTATGGAAATGGAATAAGGGGCTTAGACAATGAGAACTTTTTTAGGCTCTTTAAAATACTGCCAAACTACCCTTCAGAAAGATTGTACCAAATTAGCAATGTACAAGTATCCATTATACTGCCCATTTACCAGAATCATAATTTTTTTCTGAATCTTGGACAGTTTGTTAAGTAATTGATTGTTTCTTTGATCATTCTAATAAGAGTTGTTTTGCAATTAGTAATTCTTTGTCTTTCTGTAACTTTACAGTTGATTGATTAGTTAGAATAGACTATAGTCCTAGGTGTATGTATATTACACTTTAAAAACTCTAGAATATTTCAGTGTCACTCTACTCTTTCCTAGAATATGAATATATATTATATACCAGCTCATGACGAAGAAAGAATTCCATACTGATAGTTCAATATTGGGTCATAGTTTTGTCTCTTCCACTAATTTGTTTTCTGAACTTAAGTATTTAATATCTTATTGAACCTTTTCTGTCTGTAAAATGTGGAAGTGATCTCTTAAGCGCTTTCTAGTTTCAAAGAACTTTGATGACGTCTTTATATTTTAGAGGTTATAGTGTCATGTATGATTGAATTATATTAGAGGGGTTACCTTTTGATTTCAACTGTATATACACAAAAATGAAAGTCCTGCTATCTAACACAAAAGGGAAATTAATTTGTGTTATTTGATGCAATTATTATTACCTGAATTGTTGAACTTAAGCTTTCCCACTTTAAGTGCCTTTAAAAAGTGTTTTGTATTTGAAATCTAAAATGTAAAGGAAATTATATGGTTCTATACTGCTGTTTTTTAATTATATACTTTTGAGTTACTGGTATTTTTATATCTTAGATTACACAGAGCAGCATCCTCATGGATTCTTTGCTGTTCTACTAGTGTATTCTTGAGAATTGTATGTTAAAAGATTAGCTCATTGAGCAGGTAAGTAAGTGATCTGTCTGGGGTAGGCAGCATGTCTTCATACAGACTAGGATAAAAACTATTCACATATTGCAGTGTTTATATTTAGATGTTCCAATGTGGATGGTTGGTATCCTGAACTAATTAATGACTGTTGTCACAGATGTCAGATTTTGCTTTGGTAGCAAATTGTTCATTCCCCTAGATTAGGGGTTGCCAAATAGTTTTTGTAAAGGACCAGAAAGGAAATAGTTTGGCCTTTGCAGGCTACATGGTCTGTGTTCCAGCTATCCTTCTCTGCCACTGCAGCACAAAAGTAGTCATAGACAATATATACTCAAATGAAATGGAATGCGTTCTAATCTAACTTTATTTACACAAAGACTGGAAGCTGGATTTGGCCTGTGGATCATAATTTGCTGTAATGACTATGTTGTTGGACTCCCATGTAGTCAACCGCAGTTTGAGTCCCGGATCCGGTGGCTTAAACCCATGCCAGGCGTATGTGCATGCGAGCCCAAGATCCCGAGAGGAGAAAGGAGGAGAAGGGATTGTGGTGTGGCCATCCCTCCTGAGGGGTCCTCTCCCCCGCCCCCCCCCCCCACCCCCCCCAAAAAAAAGCTTCTGCCATCCTAGCCCTCTTAATCTCATGTACTCTGGTTGGGTTTGAATGTGGTTTAGGATCATAAAAGTAAGTGGGAGGTAGGTAAGGGAGACTGAGAACTCTTGGGAATTAGTGTAAAGAACTGCTATATTTACCGAAGCCCATCGGAGGTTTACTTAGCTTCCATAACTTAATCAAAAGAGTGATCAGTGGAGATTTGGTTGGTTGTTGCAGATTCATTAAATTATTCTGAGTGCTTGGCTACCTGATAATAGAGATCAAGTGAACCTTTTTACCTGGATATTCTAGGACACTAGAGTATGAAATGTGAGACTTTATTTTACTATGTAAAGATTTTTGGAAAAATAATTACCATCTCTTATCACCATCACTTTATTTAAAAAATGATCCCCAATATGTAGGAAAGATATAAAACCAGAATAAAAGAGTAATTTAACTTGAATAACTTTAAGTTGATGAGAAAAATCACTGCACTGTTATTTTCTCATGTACTCTAGATCACTGACAACTTCATCAGTCCACAGACTAGCATTTGAGAAATGCTATTCTACAGTTGCTGGAAGATCTAATGTATTAGGTCATTGGGAAAGTCATGATGTCTTTTTCTGTGCAAAAAGGAGTCATGACTACCCAATAGTTATAAAACTGTTATTGACTAGATGTAATAAATCATACTGCTGTTGGGACTAAAACTTATATTATTGTGTTAAATTATGAATGTCACATTTTAAGAGGGCTGTAAAGAACAGCAGTGTCCATGAGGATGCAGCTGGAATCATGAAAGGCCTGAGGAATATGGAGAATGGATGTGGTGAAAAAGAAAAAATGAGTGGTATTATTTTGGCAAAGATATGAGGGAGTTTTCTTCAAATATTTGAGTGATTGTCAAATACAAGAAGAAGAATTATTCTGTGTAGTCCTAGGTAGAAAAATTAGGAGTAAGAAATGGAAGTTTCTGATTCCACATTAAATGTTCTGTTTTGTAATTTCTAATAACAACAAAAGAAATTGTCTCTGCCCTCATAAAGACCATTGGAAATATTTAAAGAAAAACTAGATCAGTTATTCCTTTTTCTTTTTCTTTTTTTAAAATTTTTTTGAGAGATTTTTGCTATAGGACGCATGCACTTGCCAGAAAG